GGATGCGACGGCGCGGAAAATACGGCTGCGTCGAGGGCCGCGCGTCGATAACGGTCAGGATGGGGGCCAGGACGCGGCCAAGGTGCTGAAGGGCATGAAGGATGTGGCCAAGGATAAGGATAAGGACGACAGTGATATGATGGCCAGCGAGTCGCTGAAGCCCAAGCGCTGGGACGAGTCGCTGGAGAAGCCCCAGCTGGACTACTCCAAATTCTTTGAGAAGGAGGACGGCCAGCAGCCGGGCCTGACCATCTGGGAGATCGAGAACTTTCTGCCCAACAAAATCGACGAAGTGGTGCACGGCAAATTCTACGAGGGCGACTGCTACATCGTGCTCAAGACCAAGTACGATGAGCTGCACACGCTCAACTGGGAGATCTACTTCTGGATCGGCAACGAGGCGACGCTGGACAAGCGCGCCTGCGCCGCCATCCATGCGGTCAACTTGCGCAACTATCTGGGCGCGCGGTGTCGCACGATACGCGAGGAGCAGGGCGACGAGTCCGACGAGTTCCTGGCGCTGTTCGACACGGAGGTGATCTACATTGAGGGCGGACGCACTGCGACCGGCTTCTACACCATCGAGGAGATGATCCACATAACGCGGCTGTATCTGGTGCATGCGTATGGGGCCAGCATACACCTGGAGCCGATGGCCGTGGCGGCGCAGTCGCTGGACCCGCGGCACGCGTTCCTCCTGGACGTGGGCACACGCATACATATCTGGTTGGGCAAGCGCTCCAAGAACACGCTCAACTCCAAGGCCCGCCTCATGGCCGAGAAGATCAACAAGACGGAGCGGAAGAACAAGTGCGAGATCGTGGTGGACATGCAGGGCGCGGAGAGTCCGGAGTTCTGGGAGGCGCTCGATGTGCTGCCCGAGGAGGTGGCCAAGCTGCCGCCGCCCAAGGAGCACATCGCCGAGGACTATACGCCAGTGCAGCCGCGCCTCTACCAGGTGCAGCTGGGCATGGGCTACCTGGAGCTGCCGCAGGTGGAGCTGCCCGAACAGAAGCTCAGTCACACGCTGCTCAACAGCAAGCACGTCTACATCCTCGACTGCTACACGGACCTCTTCGTCTGGTTTGGCAAGAAGTCTACTCGGCTGGTGCGCGCCGCCGCCGTCAAGCTGAGCCGGGAGCTGTTCAATATGCTGGAGCGGCCGGACTGTGCGCTGGTCATGCGCGTCCCGGAGGGCAACGAGATGCAAATCTTCCGCACCAAATTCCCCGGCTGGGACGAGGTGATGGCTGTCGATTTCACGCGCACCGCCAAGTCGGTGGCCAAGACGGGCGCCAACCTGACGCAGTGGGCGCGCCAGCAGGAGACGCGCACAGATCTGGCGGCGCTGTTCATGCCGCGACAGAGCGCCATGCCGCTGGCCGAGGCTGAGCAGCTGGAGGAGGAGTGGAACTACGATCTCGAGATGATGGAGGCCTTCGTGCTCGAGAACAAGAAGTTCGTCCGGCTGCCCGAGGAGGAGCTCGGCCATTTCTATACGGGCGAGTGCTATGTCTTTCTGTGCCGCTACTGCATACCTGTGGACGATGTCGATGCGGCCGAGGGCGGCGGCGAGGCCAACGGGGACGACAGCAAGTCGGCGCCGCCGGAGGACGAGATCGAGTGCGTCGTCTACTTCTGGCAGGGACGCAACGCCGGCAACATGGGCTGGCTGACCTTCACGTTCACCCTGCAGAAGAAGTTCAAGGCGATGTTCGGCGAGGAGCTGGAGGTGATGCGCATCTTCCAGCAGCAGGAGAACCTCAAGTTCTTGTCGCACTTCAAGCGCAAGTTCATCATCCACACGGGCAAGCGCAAGGACAAGGCGCTCACGCCCGACGGCAAGCCAGCCGTTGAGTTCTTCCACTTGCGTTCCAATGGCGGTGCTCTGACCACACGACTCATACAAATCCAGCCGGATGCAGTGCACCTCAACTCGGCATTCTGGTGAGTAGATAGACTCCGCTTTGAAAGGCTCTCAATGATCGAATTCCTCTCTCCCACCTTTGCTCCCTCTCTCCCCTCCTTCAGCTATATTCTACATGTGCCATTCGAAACGGAGGACGCGTCCCAGTCGGGCATTGTCTACGTTTGGCTGGGCAGCAAGGCTTGCCCCGAGGAGACAAAGCTGGTGCAGGAAATTGCCGAGCAGATGTTCAACAGTCCCTGGGTGAGCCTGCAGGTGAGTTGTCTATCAATGCTGATTCATTTGCCATGTGCTGATCATTGGTGATCCTGACTCTGCAATGCATTCGCAGATACTCAACGAGGGCGACGAGCCGGAGAACTTCTTCTGGGTGGCGCTCGGCGGCCGGAAGCCGTACGACACGAACGCGGATTACATGAACTACACGCGGCTGTTCCGGTGCTCCAACGAGCGAGGCTACTACACGGTGGCCGAGAAGTGCGCGGACTTCTGCCAGGACGATCTGGCCGACGACGATATTATGATACTCGACAATGGGGAGCATGTCTTCCTCTGGATGGGGCCGCGCTGCAGCGAGGTCGAGGTGAAGCTGGCCTATAAATCGGCCCAGGTCTACATACAGCACATGCGCATCAAGCAGCCGGAACGGCCGCGCAAGCTGTTCCTCACCATGAAGAACAAGGAGTCAAGACGCTTCACGAAGTGCTTCCACGGCTGGAGCGCTTTCAAGGTGTACATTTAAGGGATGCGGACGTGCGGTGCCGTGACAGAGTAGCCGCCGGACATGACAATTTTCGACTGCAATATACACACAAACACACACACACAACCACACACCCACACATGCATACACGACACATAATCGCCAGCAAATGTTTGTACTTTTATAATGTATTTAATTGTTTATTATTATTTTTTATTTAGAGCCGTTGTTTATTTTATTTTATTTTAATTTTTTTTTATATACTTCGCCGCCCAAATAATTGATTAACTTACCACTAGCCCCTGTCTACGCAAAGTATTCTTTTTATCTTGAGATATGTTTACATAGCTTTTGTATGTACTACTTATTACATATATATACATATATATATTATACATATTTATATGCTGAGCCGGCGAACTTTTTGTGCTAGTCTTTGAAGGTGTTATCCTCAGAAATCGAAGTGTTAACGAAACGAAATCCAAACAATTGCTAATTTGCACAATGTCTTGCTGCCTGCAAAAATTCGCCAACTAATTGTACAAAATCATATTTATTGCAATTAACCAATTATACAAAAATGAAAATGAATAAAAATGCCAATTGAAAAATTAAATAAACTATTCTCGCATTCATTTTGAGTCGCGCGCAATGCATTCCACAGCTGGTGGTGCCAGATCAATCAAGTCACGCACTTAATCTGACGAGATAGCATCCAAAGTGTGAAAATAATTGAATTGTCTGCAGTCGATAGATATGCACTCAGTTCACAATTTTGGCATTTGCCATATTTATGTAATAGAAATTTCCAGAACGTATGTTATATTTCTTGGAGAGTCTCAAGTCTAAAGCGTAATATTGTCAACGGTCAAACGAGTTAGGTTTGCAAATAGTTGTGTGATTTTCTGATTTTATCAGAACTAGAAATTTTCTCAGAATTTGGGTTTTGTGACATTTGGTTGATTTCGCATTTGATTTGCCAACCGCCATTGATATTATCGCGCTTATTCCGATAAAAATACGTGTATATCGATGCATCGATAATTGATTTTACATCACTGCACAACGGCGTCGCTGTCATTTTGCAACAGAGTCGGAATCCGCGTTTATTCGTTTTGCCTCTCAATTTTTGTAAAAGAAAATTGTTGCTGCTGCGGTAAGTGAATTACAAATTTGTATCCACAGGCGTAATGTATTGGGTATAAACTAGCTGGAGAATCATTTCATTTGTTGCTGCACTATTTTGTGTGATTGTAATTTATGTTCTATTTTTTTGCGTGTGGTTTTCGCGCTTCGTTCGTGTTTGTGCCAAAAGTTGAAGCGGCTCGAGCAAAAGTGTGGATGTGCTTGTGTCCGTGCTTGTGCTTGTGGTTGAGGACTCTGTCAAGTATCTAAGAAGCAACAATTGGATACATTCAACACACATACACACAACACACACTCGCACACGCACATACACACACACTCAAAATGGATCTCTTCGACATTGTGCGCGCTGCACCACCACCACCCGACGAAGATGTGAAGGATGAAGTTGAGGAGGAATCGGATGCTAGCCCTAAAGTAAAGCAGTTCTCGCCATCGTCGTCGCCAATGCCAATGACGCCAATATTCAAATTAGGTACATATTGCATAGAAACCCAATTCAATGCAATTTGATACATATTTATAATATCTTTTGCAGAAGATTCGGACACTGAGACGCTCCCACGTTCGCCGCTGGTGGAAGACCGTTCATCGCCACCACCACTTGACATATCTACCAATATAGGCTAGTTAGAACTAAAGTTCGATTGTACTACAATTATTAAGAGTCTTCTTTCCACAACAGACAACGAAATCGCTAAAGTCGGTGCGGGCAGAGCTAAAAATGCAAGCAAGTCACAGGAATCTAAACGCACATCACTTAAAAAGAATGACAAAGACTCTGACGAAGACTCTGACAAAACAGACGACGCTGACTCCGACGACTCTGAAGATGACGTCAAGGTGAACAATGTAAAAGGCATCGACAGTGACAGTAGCAGTGGCCTCAGTGATGACGAGGAAGATAAGAAGAAGAAGAAGAAGAAGAATGTGAAGCGGAAGCCGATGGAGGACGAAGACGAAGAAGAGGACGAGGATGATGATGATCCAGATCTACTGCAAATACAGCCACGCAAAACAAAGGGTGAACAAAAAATGTTTACAGATGCTACAGCGGCTTCCAAGAAGCAGAGAGGCAAAAACGCCAGAACTGTTGGCATCAGAAGTTGCGTGGTGCGCATTAAGCGCTTGACACAGAAAGATATTGACAATTATACCAATGCCAGTGGCAAAGGCAAGGGCAAAGGCAAAGGCAAGGGCAAGGGCAAAGCCAAAGCTAAAGCCAAAGCCAAAGCCATTGCCCATGCCAAAGCTGAGCCCAAAGCCACAGAGAAAGGTAAAGGCAAAGACATGAGACGCAAAAAGCCGCGCAAGCGCCAAGCAAGCATTTCAGATTGCTCATCTGTGGACTCATCTCCATCATCGGCCAAAAAGCCAAAGTCCAGCAATGCCAAGGTGCACGTCAAGGTGCCCTTTCAGCAGAACGGCACCAAGCCGCGTTCTTGGCTCAACACATCACGCGTGCACACACCGCCGCCAAGCCTGAAGAAATCACCCAAAAGAATCAAGCCATTGAAAGCTAGCAAAGCGATGATCAATAAGTATGGATCGCGTTTCTTTAATTGCTATGTAAAGATGAAGCGTTTGAAGGATCCGGGCGTGAGTACATCCAAGCGGGCTAAGCGCAAGTCAAAGTCGAACCTATCCGTCTCATTTAGTGAGGCCGTCGAAATACTGGGCAGCAAGCCGCGCAAGTCTTCGTCCATTGCGGGCGCGCTCAAGCAAACCACAAAGCTGAATAGTTCGGTGCCAACGCGTTTGCAGCGTGTCGATGCCACTGGCAATGTGCTCGAGGACATCGAACTGAAGCCGGATACGGTATTGAAATCGTCGAATAGCTCCGGTGGCCAAAGGAAGCGCGGCCGTCAGCCCGCTTGCAATGGTGGGAAGCGTAGCGGCAACAAACTGAAGCGTCCAGCTGTGCATGTGCCAGTCACTGACTTGGCTAGCCTGCGTATCGATGACAGCCAAGATGAGGAGGAGGAGGAGCCAGTAGACAACGAGGCTGGCGAAGAATATATTGGTAAGTGGGCGTTACTCTTGACGCAGTGCTTGTTCAATTTGACTAAACGATTTATCCTGTTGCAGTGCCCAACGATATGCACACTTGTAAAACATCGGGCGTGCGCCGCTCTTACACCCCGACGCCGCAGAAGAGAGTGGCCGTGGTAACAACCACAGTTAGTGATGTGGAGGATGTGGATGAAGGGCAGCCGCAGTGTAAAATGAAGAAGACGACGGCTGCACCGGAAAATAAGAAGAATAAGAAAGAGAAAAAGGACGAGCAAAACAATTGGGATGAAATTAAAGTTTTGGATGAAACAGATACGGAACTGGAATCGGAACAACCAAGCCCAGAGAAGCCACAGAAGGCGAAGCAGCGCGAGCAGAGCGATTCATCAAACAGTTCGCCTCTGCTCACAGTGCTAACAGATGATGTTACCACAGATGACATATTGGAGATTCAAGCATCTATGGAGGATGTGCGTGAGCTGCACACACCGCCATCTAGACAGGATACGCCGCTGCTGTCGCTGGCATCGTCGGCTACTACCAATCGTGACCAGCGCTCCGAGTCGCCGGAGTCAGAGATAAGCTTTAAGTCGGCCGATGATCTAGAGAGCAGCGTTGCCATCGAACAGGCATCATCGCCAGGGCGGCGGGCTAGTGCATCCGGCTCATTTGTCGACGACCAGCCGACACGCGGTGAGAATCACCAGTCCATGTACGCGCCGATTATCGATATGCCGAATCTAGATGATGATCTCGGTCCTATTATAGGTGCGTATTATGCGTTTCTCTTCTATTTACATATTATTTAATTTTCAATTGATAATTTCTCTAATTGTTTGGGCTTGCATTGGTCTTTCGTGTATTGTAGAGCCCAATTTTCAAATGGCCAACAGCCTCAATTCAAATTCTAGACTTACAATGGAGGATATTTTGACAGTGTTCGAGACTTAGGCAAACACAACGAGATGAACGCGTCGCGTAGCAGGTTATTGACAGCCCAATATTTTCTGTCTCGCTCTAAGTGCTTATCTGTACATATTTATGCGTGCACTTGGTTCGCGCGCGCGTCTGTGTGTGTGTGTGTGAGCGTGTATGTTATTCCATCTTGCATGCGCATAGTTTGCCATCTCTTTTACTGCACGAAATGTTTCAGTTTGTCGTTGTCTTCGCTGTTACTGTTGCTGTTGCTGTTATGTTTCTAGCTAACATAACTTTCAATAACATTTCGCAATAGTGATTTTTATATGCTTGAATAGGATTTCCATGTTATGATCTGTTCATCAAAGTAATTTTTAATTATTTGACACTTAATAGTAGCAGGAGGCGGGTTATATTTCTATTTTGTAGATTTATCATTTTCTGTAGTATGGCTACACTAGAGTTTTTCTTATCGTTATCTTTGGCCTAAATAATATATAACTCGGATAGTTTTTACTTTATACTTTATATATATCGATTTGAGCATGTCAATCAATTTACATATATTTAGGTTTCTTGAATCAATAATCAAAGCAATCATCATATTCTATTTTCAATTTATTCAGCTCGAAAGTTAATTTAGACTAAGAACGGTAAAACTGATTTAAAGCTCTTACGCACTAGTTTTCACTGCATTTCATATTGAATCGTTTAAAGTCTCGAACCAATATTCATTGTAAATAAATATCATTTAGAGATTTTGCCTAAAATTTCATTTAAATTGTGCATTTCCATTCTAAACCTATTTCATTCATAGCAATAACTGATTTGTGTGTTTTCTTTCTTCAGACAGATACAATTTGTGAATCGTCCCAGCTGTGGATGTTGTGAAATCTAAATGGAGAAGTTGAAGCAATGAAGCAACCTGACAACTTTTTTATTTACTTGCGTTAAGAATTTGTTTGTTACTCTCACATCTAAAAGAACTGGAATGCTAAATTGAATAACTATGAATATCCTTCGTTGCCCGTTGGGTAATATACTCAAAACTTAAAGAACTTTTAAATATGTGCATCACATATAATATGGGTTTTGCTTAACCAGAAAAATAAGTATAATAAAATTGAATTTTTTTGTTTTTTTTTTTTTTTAATTAATTGTATTGTTTTTTTTTAAATTTGTATAGAGCTATTTTAGAAATATATATATGTATATGTATATATATATATAGCTCTAGTCATACGAGCTCTTAGTTGACATAATCTATTAATCTGAAATTCAAATTGACTTTAACACTAAGTTTTACATTTAAGTTTAGGCTACCTAAACTTTGTTATGCTAGCTTGTTAAGTGGACCAAGCGCACACGTGCTTGAATTGCTCCATTGAAAACTTTTAACATTTTGTTTTGTTTTTTTTTTAAGTAGATGCATAACAAGTGGATGTATTATTTTAAAACAGAATAAAGTCTACGTGTAAAAGGCAAATGAAGTTGCTTTCGTTGTAATATTAATATATATGTATCTATATTTGATATATGTATGTCTATAAATGTAAAAGATCTTGATCGTAGAATAGCTATCCAAATATTAGAGCAAATTATGAACATACATGATATATGAGGGTAGTCTAAGAAACAATATATATGTGTAAAAATAGAAATATATATATATACTTATGTGCATGTATACATATGTATACAAATACATATTACTTAATTCTCAAATATTTTTAGACTAACCCAATGAATAGTTGGAGCCGTAGTTTGCTGTTGATTTCTTAGAACGTTCAGCATTAGCTATTAAGTATTTAAACAACAATTTAATTGGAATTTTAAATATTCAATATTAAAGAAATATCAATTTCAATTAAACGCTTTGTATTATTTGCAACGATTTTATGGGTGGCTCAATTAGCAATTGACTAGGCCACTGTTACGCTTAACAGGGCGCGCAGAAATATTTTGCCAACATTCTGTTAGACTCAAATTGGCACGGTTATGGCAAGCAGTGCTGTTAAGCTGGCCAAGCTGCTGTGGCCGTTGCTCATACGCCTCGTTGGCCGTCGTCGAGTGCGGTTGGTTTTGATTCCCGTTGGCTGCTCGCTGTTCGTTGTTCGCTTCGGTTGCTTTCGCGACGTTTCACTTGGCGCGTATTTGAATAGCATTGCTGCCCAGTGCAGTTAATTGAAATTAACTTGCAAATCGAAAATAAAAAGAAAACCCCCAGAGAAAAGAAATTGGGATTGACGGGAATGGTGCGAGGCAGTTTAAGTGGCGGGCGCTGGGCGCCGGCTAATTGATGGCAGGACCGCAGCCAGACAAATCAGACAGTGCTAATCGTGAATTTGAACCAGACGCAACTGCTAAGCGATGCCAGCCAAGGTACGCTCGCCGGCCGACTACGACTCGCAGGATGAGGCCAACACTGAGCTGCTGGAGAAGCTTAAGCACTTGGATCGTCGCGCCGAGGCCGTCGAGAGCGGCAATGGCATTTGCAGTCGCAGCTCCGCCTGCTGGCAATCGCTCAAATTGAAATCAGCTCTAAATCATATCGGACTGCTCGTCTCCCTGTCCATCTACTGTGGCGTGGGCGGATTGGTAAGCAACAATTACGACAACACATGAAACGCGCCTCGCCAGGCCAGACAGCCAGACAGCCAGACAGGCAGACAGGCGAGCAAACAAACAAGCAAAACAGACAAACAAACAAATCATTTGCATATTTTGCAAAAAAAAGAACAGAAAATTAAAAAAAAAAAAAACGTGAAATAATTTTAATGTAACAACAACAAGACATAAATAATTTGTGCGTCGAGATCATGGCGAGAGGCAGGGGGCGGTAGAGCGGGAGGGCAAGCGAGAGAGATTTGCTGCATGAATAGCTTCCGAAAATCAGCTCATAATTAAGGCATTAAACTATTCCATATACATTATTTAAGTGCCTAGCGTTACTGCCACGCCCACACGTATACTGTAGCCGCCTCCATCGCCTGTAAACGCCCACGCTATGAAAACGCGCCCAATTGCCATGCAAATTGTATTCATCTCCAGACGCCAGTCTGGATGCGCTGCATCGTTGACCGCCGCCACAGCCACAGCCACATTCATGTGTGTGTGTGTCAGTGTGTGTGTCAGTGTGTGTGTAGACATTTAGACAAGTTTAAATACTTGTTGTCTAAACATTTACATTTTTGCCAATGACGTTGCCATTTATTGGCCCGGAATATGGCCAAATATCCATTCATGACTGCGTCGCCCGCAAGTGCAGCCACTCGCATTAGGCTCACTAATTGTTAGCTTCCGCGGCGCACACTCTGGGCCCAGTTGACATATGGCCCATTGTCGTGCTCCTGTCACATTTCCAAATGGCCAGCAATACTTGGGCCCGGGCCACAGTCCATAATAATGCCGTTAGCCCCTTTGAGTGGGTTGGCCTGCTTGATTTCTTGTTTATGTTTTGCTCTTGGCAATTTTGTTGTTGCCTCTCCTATTCGATAATCCATTGCAGATATATGGGCATATAGATACGCATCTGTCAGATATATATACATACATATATATATACATATGTATATTATTATGTGTGTATTGAGAGATATGTATCCAAGGCATAAATCTTACGTATATTCCACATTCAATTTCAATTTCAATTTTGCATTCAATAAATTGAGTAACTGATCTAATTTTTGCTATGAATTCTAAATATTACTATTTATATGATATATACAATATATGTAGTTATATAATATATAATATTTTTCGTAAGTATGTAAATAAATATAACTAATTCAGAACTACAATTTAAATATATTCACAAAACGAACTTTTTAGAGATTCGTAGAGACTTCGAATTATAGATTCCTGGAGTTCATCGAACTTTTGAATTCGAAACTACTTTTGAAACGACTTGAACTCTGTAACTTCTGAATTTTATATATATAATATATTATATATTATATTTATTACAATTTTATCTAATTATATACAAATTTGCGGTTATGGGATATTAATATCCTGAACTCATTCAAAATGAGAAGTTAGGATAAAACGCTTTGTTTTTGTTTTTTATATTTATTTACAATATAGGGTATATATATTCTCTTTCCTCTTTATAACGTATATATATTCCTAATGAATGCATCTAAATGAGTCGATTAAGCCCTCTTCGTCCGCCCATCCGTATGTGTGAATTACTGGAATTCCCATCTGATCTATTCAACTGGAAGTTTGTTCAATTTGAGGTCCCTTCAGCACTGGATTCCTAAGAAATGCGGCCTCCACCTTCAGCTTGACTTAATAAATTTGAATAGAAATAGTTATTAATTGGGTTTTCGTAGCTCTAGCTGGCCAGGATTTACGTCAGATTTGATTGTTTACTCGACCTTTGCTCATTTTTTTGCTCTTTCTTTCTGTTTGCCAAGACGAAATCATTGAATGCTGAGCACTCGCACATGATTCATTTATCATTTGACTTTTCATTTGTTTGCAAATAGAGTACTTAACGCCTGATTCATGGCCAGACAATTAGACTGATACTTTGGCCAGGTTTCAATTTGGCCAACAAACACCTAGGGGCCTCTTCTACATGCATGTTGTCCGGTGAGCAATTGCCGTGAATTAATCAAAATACGCGCACACAGACAGAGAAAGGGATGGAGTAGAGGGGGGAGGGGAGAAGCATCAGAGGCCGTCGCACCACCCACAGCATATGCTGGCCAATTACGCGCACTTTGATGCCAAATTGATCGTCAAATTGCTGAAAATTTCAATTGAAATTTGAATTTCAATATGAATTACGGTATTGTGAGCATTTGTTTTATGTTTCACTGGCCTTTTTTCTCGCTCGAGCTATCCTCAATCGAGTCCATATAATGAATTGGCCTAGACAAGCCAAGTACCAAAAATAAAATGTGGCCTCATCATCAACAGCCAAAGGCGGCGGCAGCAACTGTTGCTGTTGCTGTTGTTGCTGCTGCTGCTGTTGCTGTTGCTGCTGTTGGTCGGGTGCGTATACGTAATATTTGGTAAACCATCGAGGCAAAAGTCATAAACGCTCCATTCACTGGGCTCCAGCTGTGCTGCTCGTTTGCTAACACTTGCAACGTCCTGCTTCTCCTCTGCTTCTTCTTCACTCCTTCTTCTTCTTCTTCTGCTTCTTCTTGTCCTTTGCTGCACTCGGTCTGCATTCGCTTAAGGTTAATCCTGCAGCTGTGGCACTTTGTACATTTGGTATACATTTTTGCATTCACTCAGCGAATGCACCAAATGAAACGGAACTGAATGCCACATAGAGATGCACATACACACACACACACACACACACACACACATGCATCAACACATCATATGATATGACTGTAGATGACATTGGTTTCGAATTTTCAACAGTTGTGGAATTTCCAAGGAATCCAAGATGGAAAAACTTTTTCTCTTGGTATATGAAAGGAAATATCCTTTTACATACACAGAGGTGGAGAGCAGTAAAAGGTTTTTATTTATACTATAACCTATATATATATATATATATATATATATATATATATATATATATATATATAT